AAAAAAAAAAAAAAGTTCTCTGTCTTACATATCCTCGAAATATATATTTTAGATGGAACTATATTCATTGGCAGAAATGTATAAATGAGTAGTGTCAGAGCTACTCATAAAAACAATTAAAAAATTGATCAAAACAAACTTCAAAGTTGTCCAGTCAAAGAGGCAACAGTTTTGAGAATATTCACTTTACACAGACACCTGCACATTGCTCTATCTGAATTCTAAATTTGAAGTCCATCCAAGTCTTGAATGGACCAAAGAGCTTAATAAAATAAGGAGGTCATCTGCCTGCTGTCTAACATGTTATGTTAAAAAGAATGTTTTCATAAATGTATATTCAATGAAAATATGTAACAAACAGTGAAATAAGGGTTTATTAATACAGTATGAGGATTTAATTCACCTATATTATGTGATCTTTCTATAAAGCCATGAACTTCTGAGCCTGGAAAAGAAATAATGATGGTACCTAAAAATACAATTTAATAAGAAAAATAAAGGTTTGAAACAGTTGCTATCACAATTTTGCATAATAAACTTTCCCTATTTAGTGGTACAATAAATATAAACATAATAGGTATCCGTGGAGGTCATTGAAAACTAGCACACAATCAGATAAACCATATTTGCTTATTATATGCAAACATCTCAATGGATGAAGGTGTACAATAAAAACAAAATGAACAGCTAAAGTACACAGAACAAAATATATGACTTTGAACAATGGCAGAGGAGTTTTTATGGATTCTGAGTGGTTTGCAAAATTATATCACGCAGTCACATTCATCCACAGACATATTTTCATATTGTTTCAGGACAATATTATCCTCATTATCATAGAATAACATAGAGACTGGAGACATCTTTACTGGGATGCAACAAGGTCCAGAGACATCCTCAGATCTCCTAGATATGGTCATAGCCTGCCCAGTGGAATAGTTTACTTCATGTTGTACTTTTGTGAATTGAGGTAGGCAATTTCCATCGCAGTAATTAAAGCTGTAACCTTTGGGAGCAACTACCCAATTTTGTAATCCTAGATCTTTAAAGTCAACATAGATGCTCAGCTTTTTGCAGTTTTTAACAAATGTTGAAGGCATCTTGTTAAATTTAATTTTCCTTTGTGGGTTTAGACACTGCCAAGTGTTGAGAGTCACTGTGAGCAGGGTGATAGATGCATATGTTCGAAAACCCTTGCATTGCTCCATAGAAATGGGCATCAAGGAAGATTCTTTTTTTGGAACAATCTCCAAGTCAAGGCCAAGGTTCTCATAAGTGGTTCTCCAATTTTTACAAACCTCTGTCAAATTTATATGCAGTGGTTGTTGGGGGAGGCGGACAGTTTGCACCACTAAAAGCTTCCTCCTAGTCTCTTCCTGGTCTACAGAATGGAAGGATGCATTAAGGATCTGGTATAAGCGTAGGTCAAATACCCTGCGATGCCGTTTATTCTGATTGAATTTTATTTCCAACCGACTCATCGTCACCTGTTCCTCTTTTCCAATCACAGACAGATTAAAATTAAGTATTTTTTTCTGACAGAAAGGAGGTCCTAAAGTGGAGGTGTTTCGAGGACTCTGTTTACCTGGTGAGAGATAATAAAACCAGTTAAATAAAACCATATTGTTCATACATTAGGATCTATAAAATTACTTACATAAAATAGGCATTAGCCACCAGTTTGTAAAAGACATAGTTCATTCTACTTATGCACTTTATAAGAAATATACATGTATTTATTTTTTACTTCCAAAAGGGATATTCTCTGCATCAAAATAATTTTAAATTGATCAATATGCAGTCCCACTGCTTTGTACTCTGCTGTTTATGCATTAAATCACTTTGCTTATGCGGCCCTAGCCACACCTCCCTTTATAACCAAAGCTCACCACTTAGTGGTTGAACCCTATTCACCGATTTACAAGTGGCTGTCAAATTATGGACCATTACAGCAATTAGCAGGGAAGATATAATACATTATGGAGCATTGGCATAGTAGATCTCAAAGGTAAGTTTGTATATAGTACTTCTATACAATTTGGAAGACAATTGTAGAACATTTACAGGTGTATTCACTAAAGTGTGAATTGCCATGAATTCAAAATGAAGTTCATAATTTAGACTAGAATAGCTGAATTAGAAAAATTCTCCCACTAAATTATGTTTAAAGTTTGGCAATGTTGGCCTTAAATGTTAATTCCACTTTAAAATAACTTCCAATTCCCAGCAATTATCACTTTAGAGAATAAACTAATTTACAGTAAAATTTGATGTGCTCAAACTGCATGCAACTGCCACTTACAGTCTATAAAAGAAAAAGGTAATTATTTTATTGAGTGAACTGTTTGAGTCTTATTGCAACTCCTGATAGAAAGCTGGGGGTGGGGGGGTAAGACAACTAAACATAAAACTAACTCAACATCTAAGTCCAAGTATATAAAATAGATAGGTTGCACAAACAAAGAAAGCCTCTATAAATAGACCAAAACAGTATACCCTAGCTCAGGGGTAGGCAACCTTCGGCACTCCAGATGTTGTGGACTACTTCCCCCATAATGCTCTTACACCCATAATGCTGCCAAAGCATCATGGGAGGTGTAGTCAAAAACATCTGCAGTGCCGAAGGTTGCCTATGCCTGCGCCTAGCTTATGGACAAAAAGTGATCAAAGGCATCTTGTGGGTAATAGTGCAGAGCAGTATTACCTGTTAATAACTAGATCTATGTTCTAGGTAAAAGGCTAGCATATATGCATAAAAGGGCAGATTGCAAAAAGACATAAAATAGTTACCCCATATCCAAATTTAGAACTGAAGGCAGGCTAGTTTCACAGAATGTTACTCTCACCTGGTATCTCACCAATTGTTTCAAAATGCTTTCTGCTAAGAAGTTCATGGAGAGAACAGCAAATTGCAGCAAATTCAAAACCAATTTACAAAATTTAGACTAAAAAGTATGAACTTGGAAACATTCCCCAAACCAGCTATCGTTACAGATTGATCATTTTAGCCTGAATTTTGAAATCGCCATTTTTTGTTTAATAAACACTTCTGAACTAGATATAGGGTATACATTTACCGTTACTATAATGCAGAGGCCAAAAATAAATAGGACAATGAGGATTGTTCACTAAACCTCAAAATAAATTGCAAAACTGACTATGACTGTGGTTCATTTTTTATTTTTTTCTTAAAGAGATATTTTAGACTCAGCTTTCTAATGTGGATTTAATTTGCTACAATTCCTGATAAACAGATAAACCCCCAAACACCCACATAATAAATTACACACCATGATCTTTAAATACTCTAATGGTACTGCCAGGAACATTGAATTCTTCCACAAAGCACAGGGCAAGCATCTCATCCTGATTTTGAAATGCCTTACTCTTATTGAAGATTCTCCACAGTAATGGGGGTATAGGCGGAGGACTGACTGGTTTACTCCTGTATAATAAACCCATTTTTGAAACAAGTGTGTTTTTAAGCTGCTTTAAGTCCAGCTTCAATGACATGGGAACAACAATGTTTAGCACAACAGCTAACCTAAACCAAATCATGCTGACAGAACCCCCTGTATTATGATAGATGACAAAGAGCCTCCCCCAAAGCTTAATAGAGGGTTTCATAAATAACAGAATTTGTAATAGGTGTTTAATTGAGGATGTATTAACTGATTAAACACACACACACTGTTACCTGCTTGCTTAAACATACAAGCAATACACACAAATATACCCACTGTGGGGTTCATTTACTAAACATTAAACGGTAGAGAATTGAAAACCAAATTGGGAAATCCTGTCCAAAATAGATGAAGTGGAAAAATTCTACAACTCAGACATTCAGGACTATTCACTAAAGTAAAACCTGTTTGGAATAAAAATTGAATACAAGTTGAATTTCAAATTTAAGGCAAAAATAGCCTTGGAAGCATATGTGAATTAGATGATTTTTTAGGTTTGGCTATCTTGACCTTTAAAAGGAAACTCCAGTGCCAGGAAAACAACTCCGTTTTCCTGGCACTGCAGGTCCCCTCTCCCTCCCACCCCCCCAATCCTCGGTTGCTGAAGGGGTGAAAACCCCTCCAGTGACTTACCAGAAGCAGCGACACGTCCCACGTTGCTGCTTCTTCCTCCGCCGCCGCTGCTACTCCTCTGTATTACGTCGGAGACTGATTCCACCCACGGGCCGGGGAGACCTAATGCACATGCGCGGCAATGCCACGCATGCGCATTAGAGCTCCTCATAGGAAAGCATTGAAAATGCTTTTCAACACTTTCCTATGGGGAATTGAGAGACACTGGAGGTCCTCACACAGCGTGAGGACGTCCAGCGATGCTCTAGCACAGGTTTGACGCTCTAGCACAGGCTATGATGCATGAAGTGCCCTCTAGTGGCTGATAATTTCTGCTCCTTGCAGACCCTTCCTGATAATTTCTGCTCCTTCTCCTACTTTACGTTTGTGCTCCTTCTGCCCCTTCCAGCTCATTGCTGACCCTCCTTGCTCATTTCTGTTCCTTCTCCTAATTTACCTTTGTGCTCCTTCTGTCCCTTCCTGCTCCTTGCTACCCTTTCTGGCTCCTTGCTGACCCTTTCTGCCCCTTCCTGCTTCTTGCTGACCCTTCCTGCTCCTGGCTGACCCTTTCTGCTCCTTGCTGCTCATTTCTGTTCCTTTGTGCTCCGTCTCCTACTTTACCTTTTGTGCTGCCCTTTCCAGCTCCTTGATGACCCTTGCTGACCCTTCCTGCTCCTTGCTGATCCTTCCTGCTCTTTGCTGACCCTTCCTGCTCCTTGCTGCCCTTTCCAGCTCCTTGCTGACCCTTTCTGCCCCTTCCTGCTTCTTGCTGACCCTTCCTGCTCATTGCTGCCCTTTCCAGCTTCTTGTTGATCCTTTCTGCCCCTTCCTGCTTCTTGCTGACCATTTCTGCCCCTTCCTGCTCCTTCTCCAACTTTACATTTTGTGTTGCCCTTTCCAGCTCCTTGCTGACCCTTTCTGCCCCTTCCTGCTTCCTGCTTTTTGCTGACCCTTCATGCTCCTTGCCGACCCTTCCTGCTCCTTGCTGCTCATTTCTCTTCCTTTGTGCTCCTTCTCCTACTTTACCTTTTATGTTGCCATTTCCAGCTCCTGGCTGACCCTTTCTGTCCCTTCCTGCTCCTTGCTGACCCTTCCTGCTCCTTACTGCCTTTCCAGCTCCTTGCTGACACTTTCTGCCCCTTCCTGCTTCTTGCTGACCCTTCCTACTCCTTGCTGCCCTTTCCAGCTCCTTGCTGACTCTTTCTGCCCCTTCCTGCTTCTTGCTGCCTCTTCCTGCTCCTTGCTGCCCTTTCCAGCTCCTTGCTGACCCTTTCTGCCCCTTCCTGCTCCTTGCTGACCCTTCCTTCTCCTTGCTGACCCTTCCTGCTCATTGCTGCACTTTCCAGCTCTTTGCTGACCCTTTCTGCCCCTTCCTGCTTCTTGCTGACCCTTCCTGCTTCTTGCTGACCCTTCCTGCTCCTTGCTAACCCTTCCTGCTCCTTGCTGACCCTTTCTGCTCCTTGATGTCCCTTCCTGCTCTTTTCTGTTCCTTCTCCTTTCTGCTTCTTCTCTTACTTTACCTTCCTGCTCCTTGCTGACCATTCCTTTAGGCTGCTTCCAAAAGTAAAGTCAAAAGTAAAGACAAATAAGTCAATGGGACCTGATGGAATACACCCAAAGTTATTAAAAGAGCTTAGTGGTGTACTAGCAAAACCATTAACAGATTTATTGAACCAATCATTGTTAACAGGAGTAGTCCCAGAAGATTGGAAGTTAGCGAATGTTGTGCCCATTTACAAGAAAGGTAGTAGGGAGGAGCAACTATAGGCCAGTAAGGCCAGTAAGCCTTACTTAAGTAGTGGGGAAAGTAATGGAAACCATGTTAAAGGATAGGATTGTTAAACATCTAAAACTACATGGATTTCAAGATCAAAGACAACATGGGTTTACTGGCATGGGAGATCATGCCAAACTAATCTTATTGATTTTTTTTTGATTGGTTAACTAAAATAATAGATCAGGGTGGTGCAGTAGACATTGCTTACCTAGATTTCAGTAAGGCTTTTGACACTGTTGCAAATAGAAGGCTTATCAATAAACTGCAATCTTTAAGTTTGGATTCCAATATTGTTGAATGGGTAAGGCAGTGGCTGAGTGACAGGCAACAGAGGGTTGTAGTCAATGGAGTATATTCGAAGCTTGGGCTTGTCACCAATGGGGTACCTCAGGGATCTGTCCTTCTACCCATTCTTTTTAATATTTTTATTAGTGATATTAAGGTAAGGTATGTCTTTTTGCCGATGATACTAAGATATGTAATAGGGTTGATGTTCCAGGAGGGATAAGCCAAATGGCAAATGATTTAGGTAAACAAGAAAAATGGTCAGAGTTGTGGCAACTGACATTTAATGTGGATAAGTGCAAGATAATGCATCTTGGACATAAAAACCCAAGGGCAGAGTACAGAATATTTGATAGAGTCCTAACCTCAACATCTGAGGAAAGGGATTTAGCGGTGATTATTTCTAATGACTTAAAGGTAGGCAGACAATGTAATAGAGCAGCAGGAAATGCTAGCAGAATGCTTGGTTGTATTGGGAGAGGTATTAGCAGTAGAAAGAGGGAAGTGCTCATGCCATTGTACAGAATACTTTATAGAGAGTTCAGAGAAGGGCTACTAAACTGGTTCATGGATTGCAGGATAAAACTTACCAGGAAAGGTTAAAGGATCTTAACATGTATAGCGGAAAGACGAGACAGGGGGCATATGATAGAAACCTTTAAATACATAAAGGGAATCAACACAGTAAAGGAGGAGACCATATTTAAAAGAAGAAAAACTACCACAACAAGAGGACATAGTCTTAAATTAGAGGGGCAAAGGTTTAAAAATAATATCAGGAAGTATTACTTTACAGAGAAGGTAGTGGATGCATGGAATAGCTTTCCAGCTGAAGTGGTAGAGGTTAACACAGTAAAGGAGTTTAAGCATGCGTGGGATAGGCGTAAGGCTATCCTAACTATAAGATAAGGCTAGGGACTAATAAAAGTATTTAGAAAATTGGGCAGACTAGATGGGCCGAATGGTTCTTATATCTGCCGTCACATTCTATAAAACCGCTTCAACCTGAAGTAAGTAGATAGTTAATACATTGCTAAACACAAATACACACACCAGTCAAGCCATAAGATTTGCTTTTCCCACAGAAATCTCACTTTAAAGTGACACTATAGTCACCTGGACAACTTTAGCTTAATGAAGCAGTTTTGGTGTATAGAACATGCCCCTGCAGCCTCACTGCTCAATCCTCTGCCATTTAGGAGTTAAATCCCTTTGTTTATTAACCCTAGTCACACCTCCCTGCAGGTGACTTGCACAGCCTTCCATAAACACTTCCTGTAAAGAGAGCCCTATTTAGGCTTTCTTTATTGCAAGTTCTGTTTAAGATTTTCTTATCCCCTGCTATGTTAATAGCTTGCTAGACCCTGCAAGAGCCTCCTGTATGTGATTAAAGTTCAGTTTAGAGATTGAGATACAATTTTACAACATGACAGGAGGCTTCATATTTTGCATTAACTTTCTTTACTAACTCCATAGCAGCAAAGAAAAAAATAGCTGAAATAAAGAACCAATCAGAGCGAGTCAGAGTATATATAAGTCCAAGCATGACCAATCATTTCCTCTTTCTTTGCTGCTCCATCACAAGTCAGGTCAGAGTACAAGTTTCTTAACTGTCATTTTTCAAATGTATCATAATCTTATAGTTAAAGAGACACTGTACTATCTTTCAATGTATTATTTTCTAAGTATTTTATATATATATATATTCATAGACTGTACAGCAGCATTAGAATTATATAATTATTATTAATCTTATTGTGTTTATGCTACTGCCCTGGGGGTGGCAGGGGATCCCTTAGTATTTAATATCCATTGGGCTGTTAACCGTTGGAGGGGTTAACCCCTCTCCCCTCAGTAACGGAGAATCAATATAATCTCTGTGCTGTATTGCAAGCTTGTGAGACTTAGATAGACAGGCATAGCAATGTCAGTATGTCCAGATTATGGGATATTGGATAGTATTTTTCCATGTGATATTTTTGATTTTCTTTTCATTAGAAGCCTCTTCTGAGGCAACGACATTTCACCTTTCCCTCACCCCCCCAACCCCTCCTTATGGTGGCTACGATCGCCACTTTCACTCCTTTCTCGCGCTGTTCACACTGTAATCTGTGCGTACAGAGCGGGCAGTCACTCTGTTCGCGCATTGCAAGGCACGAACAGACGTCTGACTGACTCCCCCGCCTGTTCGCACTATATTTGTGCGAACGGAGTGACCAATTACTGTTCGTGCCTTTCTACACGAACGGGCTCACCAAGCCCATCCATTCGCATAGTTTTGCACGAACAGTTTATTTATACGAATTCCGTCCGTGAATTCAACGCTATAAGCAGTATCTGTATACTCACCTTCCCCACGAACGGTTTTCGCTGGCTTTTTTTTTTTTCTGTCCGCTACCCCAGGTCTCTCGCGAGACCCACGGCAACCATTTTGTTGGTGTAGTTTTGGTGGAATACAACACTCATCACGATAAGGCAAACCGGCTGAAGATTTTGTACAAAAATGACCAGAGATGACTCCAGTTTTCTCACAGGGACCTGCGCAGGTTGGTTTGACTACCCCTGGGGAGTGGGACTGCCAGTTAATGTATACCCTAGTAGTCTGGCAAGGGGTGAGCCCCCATTTGGGTAATTCTCTGAGTGCTGCCTAACGGAACCTGTTAAAGCAGTTCCGAATTCCTGGGTGAACCCCAGCGTTAGAGAGTCTGCTTTTTTCCACGCCACTGGGCGACAAATATTATAAGGCCTGTCTACATCCCTGCCACAAGGTGCCTTCAACCCTCATACCTGTGCCTGTTAGTGCCCAAATCATGGAGGACACACAGAACCTGATTGACCTTCAAACCATGATCAACGCAGTTGCTGCGTCCTGGAGAAGGCAATGGCGAAGGTGTTACCAACGGCCTCTGAACCTATCAAGCCGGTTGGCAATCATTCCCACACCAGGGAGGACTCAGATGAGTCAGATGATTCCAAGGAGAGACAACGCCCAGGGAAATGCCACGAAACGGGCGAGGAGTCCAAAATGCCGCTAACAAGGGCAAGGAACCACTGAAGCGCAGTAATTGCCCTACAACCAGGCCCGGACTGGCCATCGGGCACACCGGGCAAATGCCCGGTGGGCCGCGGTGGCCATGGGCCGAGGCCGGCAGGGGAGGTCCCAGGATCTCCCCTGCCGGTCTATGCAGGGCCGGCGCTATCCGAGCGCCGGCCCCGCTGTGTTCCATGAAGGGCCGGTGGGGAGATCAAAGATCTCCCTCACTGGCCCACATGCGCTCAAACGCGGCTGCCAGCGGGGAGGGGGGGGGAATAGAGCCATAATGGAGAGAAGACCCGGCGGAGCTCTAACTTGCAGCTCCGCCAGGTTTCTCTCGCGAGATCCGGACAGTTGTTATGGCAACCGGCCGGGTCTCGCGAGAGTGAACTCTAGCCCCAAAGGGCAAGAGTTCACTTACCACGAGGACCACCAGGGTTGGCTGGCTGGAGCACGACCTCCCCCCCTTCCAGGCTACAGGTAAGAATAGGGGGGGGGGGATATAATGTATTTATTTTTTTAATAAAACATTAATACTGCCATTTACCTGCCTCCCCCAATACACAATGCTTGCAAACACACACATCACCCAGCACCCTAACACACACACAGCACCCTAACATTGACACAGCACCCTAACACACACACAGCACCCTAACACTCACACAGCACCCTAACACCAGCACCCTAACACCAGCACCCTAACATTGACACAATACCCTAGCACTCACACAGCACCCTAGCACTCACACAGCACCCTAACACACACACAGCACCCTAACACCAGCACCCTAACATTGACACATCACCCTAACACACACACACAGC